TTTTCATCAGCTGACGAACAAAACTGAAAATGACTCAATAAGAATATAAGAGTCCACCAGGTACAGTGGCACATGCCTGTAATCCCAGCTACTTGGGAGGCTGAGGCAGGAGGACTGCAAGTTTATGGCCAGCTGGGAAATTTAGCAAGACTCTCTTTCAAAATAAAAAATAAAAAGGGCTGAGAATGTAGGTCAGTAGTAGAGTGTCCCTGAATTCAATCTGCATCAGTGAAAACAAAAACAAAACAATAAGATAAAGGAGTTGAACAACATAATCACCAACTTGACTTCAGCGATATATATATTTTGACCCAAAAATGACAGCATATACGATTCTTTATAAGAACATATGGAATATTCAGCAAAATTGACTATATGCTAGGTTATAATGAAAGCCTCTGCAAATAAAATGAAGCAAATTGGCAAATCAAGTCTCAACTAAAAGTCAACAGCAAAAATATTTAAAAGAATATCTTAGGTGCTTGGAAATGAAGCAATATAATTCAAAATAGCCCTAGGGTTAAATTAAAAATATTTTCAACAAAAGGATAATGAAAATCTGACTCATTGAAATTTTGGGATGCACTTAAAGCAGGTCAGGGATTTAGCTCAGGGACACCACGCCTGCCTCACAAGCACAAGGACCTGAGTTTGATCCCTGGTACCAAAAACAAAAAACAAAAACACCCCAGACTTTAAGGAGAAAAGTATAGTCTTATGTTTTAGAACAGAAGAAAGACTTCAAACTTATGATCTAAGCTTCCATCTCAAGAAACGAGCAGCAGGGCATGGTACCGCACATGTGTAATCCCAGCACTTGGGAGGCAGAGGTAGGATGATCGCCGAGAGTTCAGGGCCAGCCTGAGCTACAAAGCAAGACCCTGTCTCAAAAAAAAAAAAAAATCAAAGAACAACAACAACAACAACAACAAAAACCCCACAAAGGATACTGTCAAGAAACTAGCAATATTTAAACATGTAGATCTGATTTATTTCATATAGTAGCTTTATGCATAATTCTCAGAACTTGGAAGTGACAAAAATACTGCTCAACAGGCCAGTGGATAAATAAACCATAATATATCCACACAATAATATATTATTCAGGTGAAAAAAAATCAGCTATCAAGCCACAATAAGGCATTAAAGAAGAACATTAAAAGCATATAAGTTAAAGAAGCCAGTGAAAATACTGTATGATTACAATTATATGACATTCTTTTTTTCTCATTTCTAGTTTATTATCTCAGGCATTTTGTTACAGAAACAAAAATGTGACTAATATAGCATGGAAAAATTTATGAAAGTTGTACCTTATTTGGTAATAAGCACTAACCACACTAGGTATATGACATTCTTTTTTTTGTTTTTTCCTTTGGTACTGGAGATCGAACTCAGGATCTTGTGCTTGCAAAGCAGGTGGTGGCACCACTAAGCTAAACCCCCAGCCCAAGTATATGAAATTCTCTTTTTTTTGGTTTTTTTGGTTTTTTTGATACTGGGGATCAAACTCGGGTCCTTGCACTTGTGTAGCAGGCAGCAAAACCACTGAGCTAAATCCCTAGCCCTATGACATTCTTATAAGCAAAATTTAGAATCAATAGAAAGATCAGTGGTAGCCTCAGTCTGAGAAACAGGGCTAAGGGAAGTTTGAATAGGTGGGGCACAGGGAATTTTTAGATTTTTTAGAATTTTGTTTCATGTTGGAACAGTGAATTTATAACATTATATATTTGTCAATCATGAGCTGTGCAACACAAAGAGTGAACCTTAATGTAAACCAGAGACTTCAGTGAATAATAATGAATCACTATTAGTCAACACTAACAAGTGCACCACACCAATGCAAGATGTTAATTAATAAGAGAAGAAACTATGTGCAAAGTGGTACACAGGAAGTGGGTACATGGGAACCTATACTTTCTGGTCAACTTTCCTGTAAATTTAATACTATTCTTTAAAATTAAGTATATTAATTTCCAAACATTTCCTAAATAAAAAAATCCTAGACATAGCTTCACTGTCAAATTCTTCCATACATTAAAGGAAGAAACACATCCTTATTTATTTTATGAGGCCAGCATAACCTTGGTATACAACTTGACAAGGCTATTACAAGAAAGGAAAATTACACACTTGCTCATGACATAGATACAATCCTTAAACACTTACTCTTGGAGTTTGGTTAACTCCACTGCTGAAAAAGTAATGATAAGGAAATATCCCTCTCAGTCTAACAATGAGGAAAATAGTATAATCTATAACATTACAACTTTTGAAGCCATCAAATAACTGCAGCTGTTAAGACAACAAAATGAGCGATACTCTGAAGAATATAAAATTCCTCCAAGGACAGGCAGAACTTCCAACTGTTTTACCTTAGGCAGAGCACAGGAGGGAAAAGAAGCTACCATACAAAGGGGCAAGAAAAATGTTAACTATTACAGACTAAGAAGGGTCCGAGTGTCAGTTCAGAATAGTTAGAGGCACAAAACGGAAGGAGAATTCACACTCAGTGGTATACTTTCTTCCATAGGGATCCATACAAAATACCTGCCACAGATACAAGGCAATGCTTAAAAGGAGAGGGGAAAGGAACATGACAATGGCAATAAAACCCACCTCAAGGACAAGGCACATGGAATTAGAAGAATTAGAGAACTTCTGAGCCTACCATGAGCCTATCATTAACTAAAACCAGACTGCTAGGAGATGGACAAGATCATGGAGCAAGCTCTTCATCAGAAAGTACAGTAGAGTTCCCATCATACCAAAATGACACAATAACTAATAACCAAGTCCGGCAAGGTCTCAGTCTTTTAGTGAATAGATGGTAAATGTACCAGTAACAATTGGATGTCAGTGTACTAACAATAAACAACTGGAAATTGAAATGAAAGAAAATAATTTATAATATCATTTATTATATCAAGAAACATGAACTACTTAGAGGAAAATCTTAACAAAAAGTGTGCATGATTTGTATAGTAAACTACAAAATACTCACAAGAGAAAATAAAGATGATATAAATAAGAAAGGAAATAAATCATGTTTGTGGGCCAGAAAATTCAATATTGTTAAGATATCAGTTCTCCTCAAGTTAAACTATAGATTCAACATAATCCCAATCAAAATTCCAAAAGGTATTGTAGTAATTTAAAAGTTGATTCGAAAGTCCTTTGCTGTATAAATTTGAGAAACAATTTTGAAAAAGAGAAACAAGGACTACCTGAATTCAAGGCTTACTACAAAATCAAATCAAGGCAGTGTAGTATTGACATAAGGACAGACAAACAGCTCAAAGGAACCAAATAAAGTCCCAGAAATAGTCATAAATGTATATGTAAATGATTTTCAACAGAGTTGCTAAGGAAATTACTGGAGAAAGGATAGGTTTGTGAATAAGTATGTACTGGAAATATTGGACAGCTACATGTGGCAAAAAAAATTTTGAGCTAAAAATCCATTTTAAGTTATTTTTGCATAGGATGTAAAAATTAAAATGGACCACAGACTCACATATAAAAGTTAAAACTACAAAACTTTTAGAACAAGCAAGCATGAGAGAAAAAAATTCTGAGACGTGGGATAGGCAAAGATTTTTAGATAGGGCACAAAAAGCACAAATCATAAAAAATGAATTGGTTAAAAATTTGTGCTATTCAAATTAAAATATTTTGTTCTTCAAAAGACCCAGTTAAGAAAATGAAAAAGCAAGCCATAGACTGGGAGAAAATATTTGAAAGATGTCTATCTGATGAAAAACTTGTATCAAATATAAAGAATCCTTCAGCCCAATAATAAAAAGAGAACACCTTTTTTTAAGTGGGCAAAAGATTTGAACAGATTATTTCACAAAAAAAGATATGTGCACATGAGAACATGTTTAATAACATTAGTCATTAACGAAATGTAATTAAAGCTTCAGTGAGATACTAGTACTACTGTATACCCCTACTAGAGAAGTGTACCTAATAAAATAAAAACTAATAAATTTTTTAATTGCTTCTGAGGATGCAAAACAACTGGAATTCTCATAATTGTCTATGGAGATGTAAATGGTGCAGGCCCTTAGTTTGGCAGATCCTTACAGAATTAATTATGCCACAAATCAGCAATTCCAGGTTTTTTTGGAGTTTTTGTTTTTTGTTTTTTCGAGACAGAGTCGCGCTATGTAGTTCGGGCTAGCCTCCAACTCGCTGCAATTCTGCCTCAGCCTCGCGAGTGCTGGGATTACACTTCCGCCAGCAATTCCACTTTTACATATCCAAGCAAACATCTCTACCTGAATGTATATACCAGCTCTACTCATAATCCATGTAACCCAAATACCCATCAACTAATACATGTCTAAGTACCTGTGGTATCCAAACGATGAAATATTATTCAGCAATAAAAAGGAACAGAACTGCTGAGATACCAGCATGGATGAATCTCAAAAGCATTATGCTAAATGATGCCTGCGCAAAAGTTTACATACTATATAATTCCAGTTATAAGCCATAAAAAGAAAAAACCGAAGATCTGATCAGTCTGTGCATTCGCAGTACCTGGTAATCAGAAAATACTCAATACAGCCTGAGTGGATCTGAGGAGGGGAAAGCATTGCAGGGTGGGTAAAAGTCAACAAAGTGACAAAGAGGCTGGGGCGCGCCTGGGGGCCCAAATCCACACAGGAAGGAAAAGTGAGGGAAGGCGTGGTCCAGGCTGCCTTCCAGGAGTCCAAGAGCTCAAAAGACGAGACCCCATCAATGACACGAATAAATAAGTGACAAAGCAGTCTCAGTGACTCCTTGGCCTGGAGAGGCGTTAGGCACCCCACCCTTCTTTTACAAATCTACCACCCCACACCTGGGCAGAGCAAAGTGCGCGGCGACAGTGGGGCTTTTGTCTCTGCGCGGGCAAAGCAGGGGCGACAGGAGCGACCCCGGGGACCCGGCGAGGCCCAGACCCCGGGCAGCCGTCCTCCCTCCCTCCCTCCCTCCCTCGGCCCACTCACCCAGGCCTGCCGTTCCAGCTGAGCGTACAGATTGGAGCCCTTGAGCTTTTGGACTATCTGGGCAATCAGGAGAGACAGATCCGACTCCTCCTGCAACATTTCCCCTGCCCTAGCCCGCCAAGCCGCGGGGACAGGCCGCCAGCACGAAGAGAATGGGCGGCCAGGTCCCACTCGGGGTCGGTGACACTTCATAGGACCTCTTTACGCTAGGACTCCTCCAGCGCGCGTTACCAGGCAACTGCGGAGTTGTGTTCGTCTCTCTCTGGTCCCCCTCTGCTCTTGAAGTCCCCAGCACCTGCGTTCCGCCGGCAGAAAAAGACCCGCGCAGGAAGGTAGCTTTCATCTCATTGTTCTGCCTATTCTGGGACTGAAGGACGAGGACAGCTCTTTCCTCCAGAGCTGCAGCGCCTCGGATGCAAAAGGGAAACGCAGAAGGGAGTGTGTGCGTGGGCGTGTGTGTGTGTGCATGTGTGTGCATGTGTTTACCAGATAAAAGATCTTTCCTCTTCCACTTCCCAATCTTTGCAGAAATCGTGCTGGAAAAGCAATGATACAGCAAATTACACAGAAGAACTGTCAGGCTCCGGCTGAGTGAACTTGGGTGAGATATTTAAATATCAGAACTTGGCTTTTACTTGTAAGATAAACCCAGTTCACAGGATGTTGTGATGACTCGCTGAGGTAAAAATCGTAGCACGGTACATTCAATTTTACTTCATTTTCTCCCTTTTCCATTCGCTGCAGGTACATGCTAAGAATAAGTAGACAATCTCTTCTCATCTAACTGCTACAAATTAACCAAGAAACATTGACAGGTTTTCTAAGAAGCATCATCAATTCAGTCCTGAATAAGACTTTGTCCTAATCTTCAGGCAACTAATCACATACCTTCCACTTCTCCCATGTATTTATTCTTTCATTCATTTATTCATAATTCACTCAGCTTTCAACTTACTGAATATTTACCTACGAGGAACTGTGTGAGCACAAAGATTTAATAAAACATGACATTTTATAAGAAGATATATAAAAGCTTCTAGAGCTAGAAGTAACTGATATAACTAATGGAATGACATCTCCAAAGCTCAATGGCAGCTGGGCATGGGGGCACTCCTGTAGTCCCAGCCCTCGGGAGGCGAGGCAGGAGGCTGGGCTACATAGTGAGTTCAAGACCAGCCTGAATTACACAGTGAGACCCTGTCTCAAAAAAAAAAAAGGTCAATGGCAATCAGAAAAGAAATTAAGAAATAATTTACACATTACAGTAACTTTGACAAAATAATCAAGATTTCAATTATGTATATGCATATATTTTAAGCAAAGCAAAAGTAGCATTCCAGGAAAACACACCACATTGTTGAAACAGCTACTCTAGACTAACTATATCAAATTTCCATGTTCTTAGACATCACAAGAGATCTTGGAAAATCAAATGTAGGTTCTGATTCAGTAGGTTTCTGGTGAGATCTGGTGATCTGAATTTCTGACAAGTCCCAGGAGATTGTAATGCCAGAGGCCCAAAGGCTACATTCCAAATAAGAAAGGACTAGAGCAGGTACACAATAGAGATTCCAAAGGATTGGACCCCTGGCAACCTACACACCACCTCCTGGCATTCATAACACCACCATTCGGGATGTTGTTGATGATAAATACAGATTCTATGTAACCCACTGGGTCAAGTTGTTCATTAAACCAATTTTGGAAAGAAGCTGGCAGGAGGAGAGGCAGAGAGACAGAGAGAGAGAGGAGAAAGAAGTTAACAGCAATTAATGATAGACTAGCAAACATTCTTTTGGGGGGGGGGATGAGACAAGGTATTGCTGTATAGTTCATGTCAGTCTTGAAGTCCTTATTACCGCCCAAGCTGGCCTTGAACTCACCATCCTCCTTCCTAGCCTCCCAGGTGCATCCAGCCTCCTTAACTTTTTATAGTCTTGTAGTCTTAACCCACTCATCCAATAACCTCCAATATAAACTTCACCTTGAGCAAAAAGAAAGAAAGAAAACTATGGTGAAAGTTCTTTTGAGACTTGAAGGTTGTAGAGTGCTAAGTATTAAGAATTAAAGATGCTTACTTAGTTTAAGACAGATCCTAGAGCATAGTCAAGAAGAAAGATGAAGCTGTGAAACAGAAGAAAATGCACAGTGCCTGGGGTCAGAGAACCTTCCAGCTCCCTTCCTAGGATGTAGCCTAGGAATTGCATGACTTTTTCCACACTACAGTTTCAGCTTTCTTGTCAGTAACAAATGGTAAAAATACCAACCTGGGGGATATTATGAGGAACAAATGTACCTGATATTAATATATTAGTAAATATTAACATATTAAATATTGAAACAGATAACTTAAAAATAATACCCACTACTATTATTAAAAATAATATCCACTACTATTGACATGGAAATAGAAAGTAACTAAACATAGCAACACATGTAAAAATGCCCAGCACAATTACTTGCCCAGATAGAAGCTTAAAACCATTTTCTCAAAGCTAGAACAATTTTCAGCCTTACAGCAACAATTAAGAAGTTTATATTTGATTCTAAAAACACGTCTAAGCAAAAAAAAAATATTAACCCTGATGTCTAAAACAACATTTCTTATGTACATAGCAGCAGATGTTTTGGAATATAATTCAATTCTATGTTGACCTTTGCTCTCTTTTTCCAATTCAATTTGGTAAAACCTTTTAGAATACCTACTCTAGGCTAGGAAGGGCAAGGAATATAATGATGAATAAAAAATGATCCTTTCTCAAGAAATCCTCACCCAGAAAGATATAATGGTAGCCAGAGCTCTTGAGCCTCCTGTCTGTGTATTTGGAAATTTTATTACTTTAAAATTATTGTTCCATCATAACTTGAAGGTAAAAATCACAAAAAGGGAAGGGTATTTTCTTGGAAATCCTCACTGAAATCCAGAGTGAATGTAGATTGGGAAGACCCTCCATTTCTGGTATTTCAGAATGAAGCACGGTTCGGCCTTATAGACAAATAGCAAATGGCGTCAAGTCGCATGTGTATGGTTACAACCATGTAAAGAGACAAAAGTAAAATGGATGCAGAGAGACATTTCCTCAAATTTAGAACAGAGGTACCTCTGGGCCAACTGGTGTGGGGCTCTGGGCCCAAGTTTGCATTTCTTGGACCTGCTCTGCCTTGATCCATTTTACATAGATTCTGTGTTGGATCTCACTGGAGAAGGGCAAGGGATGCATTTGAAAACTACAACTAGAGGGATCCTATGACACAAATATAGGCCACATCACAAACACCCTGTCGAACTAACACAAAATTGAGGTACACTTCAGAGGTACCCTAGAACATATTCTTAGGTAATTTATTCACATGTGTGCCACTTACATATGTTCTATCATTGACAATGAAAAGTATATTCAGCTCTTGTTTTAGAAAGAGATACTGATTTTAGTGTGTTGTGCCTGAAAAATACAGTGAGCCATATGTCATCTGGAATATTTTTAAATAAATTAAAATTATATGTGTTACTGTAATGGTTAAGTGGAACATCAACTTGAAGGAATTAAGAAATGCCTAATGGATTAGTGGAATACACTTCTGGGTGTGTCTGGATGATTGACAGGTAGGCCTCAAACTGAAGAGGGAAAACCCACCCTGGATGTGAGTGGCACCAGCCAATAGGCTTATAGCCTGGATGGAATAAAAAGGGAAAGAAGGAAGTCTTCCCTTTTGCTTCTTTAGAGGAGCTTTGATCTTCACCATTGCCTTTGGGTGCTTAGCTCTACTTCCTGCAACCTTTCATAACAGACTCTTTAGACTTTCAATGCAGACCCTTTGGCTTTGCCACATAGAATTGTACCAGACTCTGCAGTGAACTCCTGGCCTTCAAGCTTTGAGTAGATCCTCTGACTCTCCAGGACACAGAGAGCCATTTTGCATTCTTCCACCCAAGATTCCACAGGTCGCCACTGTAAACCCAACAGCTATATGTATCACAAATGTCACAGGTCTCACTGTCTTGGGGAATAAATAGATGAGCTCATAATGATATCCGTTACCTGTCACTGGATAATTTGCCTCTCCATGCTAGCACAGGACCTCAGACTCCTCTTCAAACTTGCTTCCTGTTAGTTCTGGAAGCCCTTAGGAAGTGAGACATGTGGGCTGTGGAAAAAGTTTGCTCGAAATTTCCTGACCTGCATGCCTCAGTGATGCCTGATGCTCTAAAGCCACTGTGTAGGGTGCTGTTTCTTAGAGCTACCAAAACAACAGAACTGTGAAACTGCTTAAATCTCAAAGTTTACAAAGACCTTCATGAAATGAAAGCCCCTTCTCCCTCTGCTTGCCACTACTTTTAAAAAGGGAATCATATTTCTGAGCCCGGGATGAGTATCAGACTGTGTTGTACTCCACTTTCCTACCTGTGTCCCTGGATAATTGTATGTGAATGAAGAGTACCGGGCTACTGGCTCCAACAGCAATCTTGGGGACTGTATTGCTTTTATGTCAAACACAAAACTTACAGGAGAAAACTCAACAAACAGTGATTTAAGTCATAAGATGTTTATTATTACCAGTAAGTCTGGAGGGGAGTCCTAGGTTTGGTTCAGTGTCAACAATGTCATCAAGAGTCTATGTTCTTTCCCTTTGTATCCTGCTACCCTCAGTATATTGCCTTTCCCTCTCCAGCTTATTGCTTCAGTTTGAAGGGAGCTGCTGCAATTCCTCTGGTTCTATCAACTTAACAACACAAACCTTAAAGACAAAGAGAGCATAGTGAAGTGTTTCAGCTCTAAAAGAAAGCAACTTCCAACTCAGACTCATATCACATCCTTTCTCTGCTGCCTTGATTTAGTTGATCTGTCTATTTGTGACAGTGGGGTATTGAGATCCCCCACTATAACTGTATTGATGTTTATCTGATCTTTTCTGTCCATTAGAGTTTGTTTTATGAAGTTGGGTGCACCAAAGTTTGGTGCATATATGTTTATAATTGTTATCTTTTCCTGTTGAATAGTTCTATTAACCAATAGGTAATGTCCTTCTTTGCCTCTTAATCAGCTTTGGCTAGAAATCCACTTTGTCTGAAAATATGATAGCTACTCCTGCTTGTTTTGGGGTTCCCATGGCATGAAACATTTTTTCCTATCCTTTGATTTTTTTAGTCTATGAATTTCCTTTTGTGTTAAATGTTTCTTGTATACAGCATACAATTGGATTTTGGTTCTTGATCCATTCTGTTAATCTGTGTCTTTTGACTGGCAAGTTCAGCCCATTTACATTGATAGTTATAATTTATAGATATTGACCTATTTCTGTAATTGTGTTAATTTTCTATTGGTGTTTTGCTTTTTTCCCCTTCTACTTAATTGCTAGCCTTGTGTGATTTATTCATTTTGTTGGACCTTTTAGCATTGT